ACCCCTTGGCTAGTCTCGCGGGGAATATCCATGGCGGGCTGACCGGGCGCCATTCGTCACTCCATACATGCGCCCAACGTTGCCTGCATTCCGGGCCTCCATCCAAGCCGTTCCGGCATGGTAGTACCTGCCAGGGTCTAAGACCCAGCCGGTATCGCCTCGCACTTCATAAACCCTACTTTGCAGGCAAATTGGGCACATCTCACTCTCACACACATACACACTCACATTCACACATCGCCGTTCTCCCGTTTGCGTAGAGGCCCTCACCCTTGGTTACTCGACCGAAGCCGGCGTACCGAAGGGCATCGAGGTCCTCTATCCCAGCGGCCACCACGAGGAGGTGGGAGATCCGACTTGTGCCACCCTGGCACCATTGAGTTTCCTGCGGATGTTGCAGAGGAGCTTTTACGGGCAGGTAAGATAAAGTTGGGTTGGACCTTGGACAAGATTTCTGAATATACAGACAACAGACGTTGTTTCAAATGTGCAGCCAGGTCCCACCTAGCCTGGGCATGTAAGCTCGATAAGGGAGTCTGTTATATATGTGGGAGTAAAGGACACCTTAGTAGGGATTGCTTAAGGAACGGTAAGGAGGAGTCCCGACACATTAATCGGGAGGCTGATATTTCTGATTCAGGTATTATTCCGGTATTAGGTAACCCTCAACCTGATTTACAGAGTCTCAAGAGAGGGGGTTTGAGGTTTCGGATGATAGGGATAGGAGGGGAAGAAGTCAGTACATCTCAGATCAAGAGAGGTGGACACTTGTAACGAGGAATAAAGATAGGAAAAGAGAGGTCAGATCTGTAGGTACACAGACTGACATGCAGGGGGATGCAGGTGTAGTAAGGAATTGGAGTGAGGTGGTTAAGGGAACGGATAGAAGGGTCAGAGATAATAAGCATATTTATAACGACGTACAAGGAGTAGAAAGAAGGTCTAATGACATACAAGGTGATAGGAGATCAATGGGCATGGAAATTAACAGATGGGAAGTAAAGGATAGAGGTAATGGGGATGCGGCTAAGAAAAAATCTAAGGAGGACAAGACCAATATTAGAAAACATAGAAATAAAGCCATATATGTTAAATACATGGATAGCGAGGGTATTAAGGACGTTAGTAAATTTAAAAAAGACATTGGTACACCAGATAAAATTACTGTCAAGGCTATGAGGATAGCCAGAGGGGGGGTATCGTAATCGAGATTGAGCAGGAGGAGCAAGTAGAGGGATGGATAGATATTATTAAAGAGAAAGTTGGGGATAGGGCAAAAGTAGCCAAACTGGTACCGAAGGAAGGAGTTAAAATCAGGAGGATTGACCCTTCCCTGAGTGTGGAGGAAATTAAGGAGGCCCTGGTTGGAAATTTATCACATAGATCAAAAGAGCAGCTGATGGGACTAAAAAATAGGCTTTTGGAAATAGGCTATGAGTCGGAGGCGATTATAGGCAAAAGGAAAAAGGTCATGATAACAGGCATCGACCTTGATTTAGAAGAGGCCATCAACCTTGATTTAGAAGAGGCAGACATTAAGGGTATTCTTAAGGAACAGGGGAACTTTGAAGACTTTAGAGTAATATTCTTCAAAAATTCGTTAAGGGGCAACAAGAACGCCTGCATTGAGTTTCCTGCGGATGTTGCAGAGGAGCTTTTACGGGCAGGTAAGATAAAGTTGGGTTGGACCTTGGGCAAGATTTCTGAATACACAGACAACAGACGTTGTTTCAAATGTGGAGCCAGGTCCCACCTAGCCTGGGCATGTAAGCTCGATAAGGGAGTCTGTTATATATGTGGGAGTAAAGGACACCTTAGTAGGGATTGCTTAAGGAACGGTAAGGAGGAGTCCCAACACATTAATCGGGAGGCTGATATTTCTGATTCAGGTATTATTCCGGTATTAGGTAACCCTCAACCTGATTTACAGAGTCTCAAGAGAGGGGGTTTGAGGTTTCGGATGATAGGGATAGGAGGGGAAGAAGTCAGTACATCTCAGATCAAGAGAGGTGGACACTTGTAACGAGGAATAAAGATAGGAAAAGAGAGGTCAGATCTGTAGGTACACAGACTGACATGCAGGGGGATGCAGGTGTAGTAAGGAATTGGAGTGAGGTGGTTAAGGGAACGGATAGAAGGGTCAGAGATAATAAGCATATTTATAACGACGTACAAGGAGTAGAAAGAAGGTCTAATGACATACAAGGTGATAGGAGATCAATGGGCATGGAAATTAACAGATGGGAAGTAAAGGATAGAGGTGATGGGGATGCGGCTAAGAAAAAATCTAAGGAGGACAAGACCAATATTAGAAAACATAGAAATAAAGCCATATATGTTAAATACATGGATAGCGAGGGTATTAAGGACGTTAGTAAATTTAAAAAAGACATTGGTACACCAGATAAAATTACTGTCAAGGCTATGAGGATAGCCAGAGGGGGGGTATCGTAATCGAGATTGAGCAGGAGGAGCAAGTAGAGGGATGGATAGATATTATTAAAGAGAAAGTTGGGGATAGGGCAAAAGTAGCCAAACTGGTACCGAAGGAAGGAGTTAAAATCAGGAGGATTGACCCTTCCCTGAGTGTGGAGGAAATTAAGGAGGCCCTGGTTGGAAATTTATCACATAATAAGAACACGGGGCCCCAGGAAATAGAGATTGTTAGGACTGTGAGGGAGATCGAGGGCTTCCAAACAATTCTGGCGAAACTTCCCTGTGAATCGGCAGAGGAGTTAATCACAAGAAAAAATATAAAGATAGGGTGGTCTATATGCAATGTCTATAGATATTCAAAAATTTTAGTGAGGTGTTGGTCCTGCAGTGGGAACGGGCATGGATTTGCGGAGTGTAGAAGAAGGCTCGAAGAGGAGGAGAACAAAAGGACAGTAAGGACAGGAGACAGGATGCTTGCTCCTCGTGCGCAGGAGCAGAGTGCCAGGGATAAATACGCCGTGAGGAAGGGTGAGGATGGAGAAGGAGCTAAGGGTGGAATCGATGGAAAATCGGAGAAATCGCAGGAGGCGGGTGAGTTAGACAATCACGAGCATGAGCGGGACAGGGTCAGGAAAGTGTTACTGGCATTGGACGAACTGGCGAAAGCCGGGGATGTAGATATTGAACAATTTGTCAAAGACGTACAGTCGGATACTAGAACAAGTAGAAACTAGGAACTAAGTACAGCGAATACCTTTCTTCTTAGGCAGTTTTTACTACAGACGGTACTACCCTTAGTCACGACAAACTTTTAGCTTAAGTTTAATTTACCTATCGCGGATATCTATCTAAATTTAAATTTATTTATTTACTTACTTAACTAGCTTTAAGTTTTAATTCTTAATTTTTACTTACCTAGAGATATAAGTTATTCTGTCGATTAATAAATTTACTTCTGACATCTGTACATCTCGTCTTTCTTACAATGATTAGTTACGTAGACATAATCCAGGTTAACCTGAATAGGTCCCCAATCGCGTTCGACCTGCTAAAAGCAAAGATTATGAGGGAAGATATTCACTTGGCAATTATTAGCGAACCCCCCAAGAATTTAGGCAACTCTCTTGTTTATTGGAGTATGGATAGGGGAGCAGCTTTACTGGGTAGCAAATTGGATTATAGTTTTAACATAGTGGAAGCAGGCACCTCCTACGTTGTTGGTAGATATGGGGGTCTGAACATTATTTCAGCATATATTTCCCCAAATGTTACTCTCTCAGAATTTGAAAATCGCTGGCAGGAAATAACACTTGCAATAAAGAGGTTAGAGAAAAGCTCAGGGAACAATAAAATAATATTGGCGGGTGATTTCAATGCTTTCTCGTTAAGATGAGGGAGTGAGGCAAGAAAAAAGAGAGATAGGGTTGATCCTAGAGGGAAGAGCATTGAAGTATGGATGGACATAAATAATTTCATCTGTGCCAATAAACCCGGAGAACTTACCTTTGAAGGAGGAAGAGGCTCCTCCACGGTTGATATCACATTAATTGCTGGGGTACTCGCGAGTCAGATTACAGGCTGGCGTGTAGTCGAGGAGGAGACTCTCAGCGACCATAGATATATCTCCTTCAGGATCCGGGAGAATTCCAAAGCTGTTGTTGATTCCGGGAGATTTATATCTGGCTTCCCTGGCTGGATCATAAAGGACCTAAAAAAGAAAAAGAATAAAATATTAGAGGAATTTTCCAAGCAGCTTGTAGAAATGAAACAACGGTTGGGGGATGGGGCATCGTGGGGTAACATGGAGGGGGAAATTAGCAAAATTTTCTTTAGGACCTGTGACAAGATTTTTAAGAGGAGACATACGGGACCCAATAAGAGGAAAACGCATGCATACTGGTGGGATAAGGAGGTTAGCGAAATCTGGAAAAGATGTAATAAAGCAGCGCGATACCTTTGCAAACGTAAAAGAAAGAGGGAATCGGATCCTATCAGCTTTCAAAACGCGTTGGTCCTATATAATAAAAGGAAGAAAGAATTAAGGAAAATTATTAAGAATAAGAAATTGAGGTGCTGGAGAGAACTTATAAAGGATCTGGATAGAGATGTGTGGGGGTTAGCATACAAAATTATTTTTAAGAAATTCAAAAGGATGGGTCCACCCATCCCTCGCGCTGAGGGGATTGAAATAATTAAAGAGCTGTTTCCGTCAGGAGCGGAGATCCCAGAAATCGAGGAGAGCACTCTAGAGCAGATTAGGGGAGAGGCTGCGGAGGAACTACGTTTAACCAAAGAAGAATTAATTAAACATGCCAAGTGCATTAGGGTAGGTAAGGCCCCGGGTTCAGATGGGATTCCTGGGAAAATAGTGAAACTATTGCCAACAATAGTTGGCTCTGGGTAGGGGAGATGAGTTGGCGATCTTCTTCCCCCTTCCCCTTAGAGAACTTAAATTTCCTACTTCCTGGAAAATGGCCAAGATCGTTTTGCTCCCGAAAGGTTCTAACCTGGATGATAAGAAGTATAGACCTATCTCGCTTATTAGCGAGGTAGGCAAACTCTTTGAGCGAGTAATAGCTGGTAGGATCGAATCATGGGTTGCAAACAATTTCAGGTTAGTCAGGAGCCAGTATGGCTTTAGAAAGAGGAAATCGACGATTCACGCATTAGTAGATCTCAGGAATTTCATAAAAACCTGCTTTGATAGGAAACAAAAGATTATTGGTGTCGCTCTGGACTTTAAAAACGCTTTTAATTCTTTGTGCTGGCTTGCGATTAGAGATGCCCTAGAGGATATGGGTCTTCCGCGATACTTATGCGCGTTGATCAACTCTTACCTCAGTAAAAGATCGGCATCGGTCTGGCTAGAAGGGGCGGGAATATTGCTTTGAAATAACTAGAGGGGTGCCACAGGGATCAATCCTCGGGCCACTGTTATGGAATCTCGCCTATGATAGAATCCTCAAAAAATGCCTGGCTCTAGGACTTAAAGTCCTATGTTATGCGGATGATACCCTGGTTCTTATGCCAGGGAAAGATCCTCAGAAAACGATATTGAAACTTCAAATGACCCTAGATAAGGTCATCGCAGATATTGAATCCTTGGGGCTCAGCATCTCTGCGAATAAGACTGAGGTTATTTTCTTTGGCGCACTTTCCACTAATAGAGCCTGGCTGGACCAATTTGTCAAGGTTAAGGAGGACTATATTAGACCAAAAAAGAATATAAAATACCTGGGGGTGGTTTTAGACCCCTTCCTCAAATTCAGAGATCACCTAGAATACGTTGAAAAGAAGGTGGAGGTTACCCTTCGAAATTTGGCGAAAATAACACCTAATCTGCGGGGCCCGAGGACCCAAAGAAGGGCAATGTTGGTCTCTGTGGTGATTTCAATTAGTTTATATGCTGCTCCGCTCTGGGCCGACAAGTTGAAGTATACCTTTAGCAAGAAGATAATTAATAGAATATATAGGAAATGCGCACAGCTTAATAGCTGTGCGTATAGGACTACTTCCGGTGATGCGGCAGGAGTTATCGCGGGCCTCCCCCCTCTAGATTTGTTAGCGCTAGGTAGAAAAAATAGTTTCGAAAAGATGAATAAGAATGCAGCGGGAACTCTTGATAACTTTGTTCAGCGCAACGACACTACTAATGTAAGTGGTATGAGTAATAGGATTTTGAAGCGTCGAATTAAAAAAGAAATAGAAAAAGATATAATGAACAAATGGCAACTCCGCTGGACGAATACTGGCTTCCCTGGCGTTGGAGCCTGGACTAGAAGGAGAATCCCAGATATTGCTCGCTGGAAGAGTAGGAAATTTGGAAATGTGTCATATTATCTGACTCAGGTTCTCACTGCACACGGTGCCTTTAACAAATTTTTGGAAAGAATTGGCAGGAGGGACTCCGCAGCTTGTCCGTACTGCGGCTTTTTGCCAGATGATGTGGCACATACCATGTTTCGCTGTATACAATGGCGTGAGGTCAGGAAGAAATATAAGATCCCCTCCGAGGACATCCTATTAGGAACTGGGGGGCTGCAGAATTATATATTATCTAATAGGGAAAATTGGCTAGCTTTTTCCGCGCTCGCCGAGGAAATTCTCAGCAAGAAGGAACGGGATGACAGAGTGCTTGCCCGTTAAGTACCCTACTGGTGGAAGGTTTTGCTGTACTTTAGTTTTGTTTGTGTGCTGTCGTAATGTATGTTATTTTAGCTTTTCCTTGATATCTCTGCTGCTGGAGATTAAAAGGGACTTTTACCCTACTAAAGGTAAGTGGTAATCATAATAATAATAATAATAATAATAATAATAATAATAATAATAATAATAATAATAATAATAATAATAATAATAATAATAATAATAATAATAATAATAATAATAATAATAATAATAATAATAATAATAATAATAATAATAATAATAATAATAATAATAATAATAATAATAATAATAATAATAATAATAATAATAATAATAATAATAATAATAATAATAATAATAATAATAATAATAATAATAATAATAATAATAATAATAATAATAATAATAATAATAATAATAATAATAATAATAATAATAATAATAATAATAATAATAATAATAATAATAATAATAATAATAATAATAATAATAATAATAATAATAATAATAATAATAATAATAATAATAATAATAATAATAATAATAATAATATACCTTATCATATTCTATGGTAGACGCGACACACAGTTCCTTTTCTTACTAGATTTTGGCGTGTTAGTGGCGTATAAATTCCTGACAGGTGCTAGAAATTAGGAATCAATGACCAAAGACTACTTAGGTAGTTCTTTATGTAGGTTTTAGATCCGTGAAGGCAATCTGTTAGGATTAGCTCCAGGAAAATAAACTGCAGTGCTGAGGTGAACGGAAAATACTTTAATAATATAAAAATGTCTTTACAAAATGCGCGGTGCTTCGTAGACGAAGGTAAAACTGTAACTGTAGGACAAAGCATCGTGATGCGTGTTCGGACGCGCATAGCGCAGTTCATTTGTTTTGTCCGTTACTTCCAACACTCCCCCTCAAAACAAGGATGTACGCTTATCGCTGATGTATACAATGTTTCGCTAATTAATTACTACAACGCATTTATTTACAATGTCGATCGTTATACATAAAAGACGCGGTACATTTCTGATGACGCGGGCCGGTTAAACCTTTTGTTAATACGTCCGCTATCTGATCGTTTGACGCTTTGTAAAAAACTTTTATTTCGCCGTCCTTTAATTTTTCTAAAACTCTTTTCGTGTACGCGCTTTGCCGCATTTTTATTTCCGTACCGTTGTGCTCAAATTCGATACCCAAACAATGTCCGATCTTCCCTAAATCCGTCATTTCGAATTTTTGCATGAGTTGTTTCTTAATGCGTTCTAACCATTTAAAATCTTTCGCGGCTATTACTATATCGTCTACATATACGGCAAGAACGAGAAATTGCTCCCCCTTTCGCAATATATACACGCATGGATCAGCATGGAGGGGGACGAAATCCATGTTTCGCAATTCTTCGTCGAGGCGTTTATTCCATTGCCTACCCGCTTGTTTCAAACCGTATAAAGCCTTTTTTATTTTACATACTTTATCGCCGCTCGATAATTCGTTTAGCATTTTTCGCGCCTTATCACTATATTCTACGGGTCCGTCCGATATGATGTCGCGCAACGCGTCAGGGAGAATGTCCGGAATCGTCATGAAAATATCTTTATCGACTTCTCCATTCAAGTACGCAGTTGACACGTCCAATTGATGGACTTGCATATCGTATTCGACGGCTAGAGCTATTATCAATCGTATCGAGCTCAATCTCGTAACGGGCGCGTGCGTTTCTTCGTAATCTAAACCCGGGCGCTGAGCAAAACCGCGTGCGACTAAACGCGCCTTCCTCCGCGTCACCTGTCCGTCGGTGTTTATTTTGTCGCGGAGAACCATGCGACACCCAATGACTTCGCGATCACGAGGGCGTTCAACGATCTCCCATACGTCGTTCTTTAACATCGCCGCTATTTCTTCCCGAATCGCGACACGCCACTCCGTTTTATCCGGGCCGGAAAGCGCGGTTTGCAGCGGTATCTCGGCCATACCAGCTGATTCCGTCGGATGCGAAGATACGGCGTCTTCGAATAATTCGTTCTCTCCTTCAGATTGAGAATCACTTTGAATATCGTTTTGAGTTTCGACCGTACCGCGTACTTTTCTCGGCCTACCACGGCTCCCGGTCCGGATAATTCGTGGCCTACCTACCCGGTACCTGACTTCGTTCACGCGTGTCGGAATAGAATCGGACTGTTGCGAAGGATTTATGGGCACTTCAACGATACTATTCTCGCGATCGATTGTTTGACTATCGTTTCTCAACTGATCCCTGCTTTCCATGACTTTCGAGGTTGTTTTATCATTTTGAATATCTATCTCTACATTATTGTCGGAATACGAATTCTCGTTTCTCGCTCGCTCTTCGCAATTTATTTTCAGTGGCCCTTTTAACGTCTCGTCTGCCGATTTTACATCTCGAGATATATCGACGCGGTTCTCGTCGGGAAGCCATATTCTAAAACCCTTTGTTTCATCCGAATAACCGAGGAATATTCCCTCTTGCGCGCGCGGTTCGAATTTCGACTTTTGACGGTCTCGAACTCGGGTTATGACCTTCGAACCAAAAACCTTGAAATACGACGCGTCCGGTACTTTACGTGTCCATCGATAATAAGCGTTGTCGCCGTCGAGAGCGCGAGACGGTAATCTATTACGCGTATAATTCGCGTTCGCTATCGCCTCAGCCCAAAATCGCTTCGACAGTCCCGCCTGGAGAAGTAAACATCGCGCCGTTTCAACTAATGTTCGATTTTTACGCTCGGCTACACCGTTTTGTTGAGGCGTGTGCGTTACGGTCAATCGTCTTTTAATGCCGCACGAATTTAGGTATTCGTTAAACTCATTACTGAGAAACTCGCGACCATTATCAGACTGCAAATACTTTATTCGCGCGCCTGTTTGATTTTCAGCGAAATTTTTAAACTTTTTAAAAACAGATAACGCTTCGCTCTTTTGTTTCAAGAAAAAGACTTCGCACCATCGCGTATAATCATCGATGAATAATATAAAATATTTCGCGCCGCCGATCGATTCGACGCTCATCGGTCCGCATATATCGGTATGAACTATCTCGAGAACACCTACGGCACGGTTCGAACTTTTTGGGAACGGTAATCCTGTCATTTTTGATCGCAAACAGATTTCGCAAGTAGGTAGTTTTTCGTCTTTTCCGAAGGAAACGCCGCGTATACTTTTATCGCGATTTATTTTTCGCAAACTTTCCTCGTTAACGTGACCGAGACGCCGATGCCACAATTCCATATCATTTACCGTTTTTAAATTTGCATCGCTCACAAAAAACGCGGATTGTGCATAATATAAATTATCGCGTCGGTCAGCGGTGAAAATTGTTTCCCCGTCGGGCGCAAACACGGTGGCGTTATGCTTTCTAAACAGAACACTGCATCCCTTATCGGTAATTTTCGCGACCGACATAAGGTTCATGCGAAGGTCGGGAACGAACAACGCGTCGCGGAGTTCTATAGTTTTTCGCGAATTCGAGTCTTTTATGGATAATCGCACTGTACCTTGACCTTCCACCTGTGTTGATGCGCTGCTAGCGAGGTTTAACGTATCGCGCGTTGACGTTTTCATCTCGACGAAAGAAGACGCGTCGCCGCTCATGTGGGATGAACAGCCGCTGTCGAGACACCATTTCCCTTCTATACCCTTTTCGCGAATGCGTTGGTCGGCCTGGAAAGCGACTTCCTTCGCTCCTGGTGCACTGCTACTGGAAAAATCTTCTTTAGCCATTCCTGCAGTTGACTGCCGTTGCCCGCGGAACAGTCCGCGGCATTCCGAAACTCGATGTCCTATCTTTTTACAGCGGAAACAACGTAGTTTTTCCTTCGCGTTTTTATTCGGCTCTTCTGTTGCGGTATCATGGCGCTTCCATTGCGCTGTGTTTGACCTGTCCGGCTTGGTCGATTTTCTTACCCACATCGCGCTATCACTCGACTCTTTTGCTTTATCGGTTCGCGCAGCGCTCTCTTCTAAAATTTTTATTTTAAGCGCTTCGGGCGTCGGATATTCATCTCGGGATTCGATGGCCACCCGAAAATTTTCAAACGAACCGGGTAAACTGTACAGCAGAAGAACGGCGAGCATATCCGGGTTGATTTTAACCTCCATGTCTTCTAATTTGTCGACCGCGTCAAAGAAAGAGTTCATATGCGATCTCACGTCGTCGCCTTCTGCCATTTTTCGCAAAGCAAGCTGCTTCAATAGCGTCGCTTTTCGCGCCGGACCTTTCGACTGGTAAATACCTTCTAATTTCTTCCAGATCTCGTTCGATGTCTTGCAATTTTTAATTTGTTTAATTTCGGACGGGCTAATTGCTAATATCAAATCGGATCTTGCCTTTGCGTCCGCTTCGTCCCATTGTGTTGCCGCTTCGCCCTGAGTTACGTCGGGTCGTATTTTATTGCCATTAACGTACTTCCAGTTGTCGTTTTTTATCAGTAGAGCTTCCACTTGAATTTTCCACGTGTCGTAATTGTCTTTTCCGAGTGGTTCGATGCGCACTGAAGTTGAGGAACTCATCTTGACAAAAACTTTAACTTTTCACAACTTTTCACACTCACTGCACTATCGCGAATTAAATTCGTCGTACTAAAAAATGTTCGTTTAATTTTCCACACGCGACCAGAATGTGTCTGGGCCCATAACCTGTTAGGATTAGCTCCAGGAAAATAAACTGCAGTGCTGAGGTGAACGGAAAATACTTTAATAATATAAAAATGTCTTTACAAAATGCGCGGTGCTTCGTAGACGAAGGTAAAACTGTAACTGTAGGACAAAGCATCGTGATGCGTGTTCGGACGCGCATAGCGCAGTTCATTTGTTTTGTCCGTTACTTCCAACACAATCATTCTCATGAGACTTTAGCCCACCTTGATATCTGACCCATAAGGAGGCTGATTGTCCTAACTGTTTTAATAATGACATAGATATTGCGACAATATTTATTTATTTAATTTTATTTAATTAAATAATTATTTAATTACTTGTAGAGGGTTAGTATTGAACCTAGTATTTATATACTTACTGATTGAATAGTGATGCCGATGGTTAGATTAGGTTCTTATACCTTAACATCGATTACAATAATGTGTCCGGGCACTATTCGACACTGGATACCTTCCTACGTGGCTCTGTAAGTTAATAAGTTATTTTACTAGTTAGTATAGATACACTACGCGCTTCTCAAGGAACTTACTTACGTGTTAATTTCGACTGGCGCTTAAATCCATCTGAGTAATAATGGGTCATTACTTACCTCCACCTTACTTGTAAGAGACTCTAAATCTATGCATGGTACATTACACAGTCTCTACAGTCGATAATGTAGGGATCACTATTATCACACGTGGTAAATGTGGATCCCGTTCTTGTCGCTATTATACCTATGGCTGCATAGTGGTAGTTTCACTTATAATGTGACATTTGAGTACAGGGTAGAGCCACAGGAGCACTGTAAGTCATCTACCTGACTGGCGGGTTAGAGACCCTCCTAGCCTGTTGCTGCAAAGAAATGGTTCATTAATAGTTTTCATAGCTAGATAGTAGATGGCAGTATATGCCGGTTAGGCAGATTTCTTCTCTTCCTAACCTCTGATAAGGTAGAGTTTATTTATATCCACTGGTTCAGGACTCGTCGGTTAGGCGGGTCTTTATCTTACCTACAGTTACACAAGTGGCGATCGCGTGACTTATAGTTCCTACTGGGAATCAATAGCCCTGACCGGTATTATGAGCAACACGTCAATTACTAAGTAACCGGCTTATCATAGCCCTGTTCACACTTACTTGTAAGAGGAGAGCTCTTGACAAACATGGAATCCACCATCTTGGCCGTTGATCTGATGTTAATGGGGACGGACAGGTGTACTTAGTAGCGGAAGTGTGAAAGGGTCTTTTTTCTCTGCTTTGTAGCTTTTTTGGTTCGCTGGGTATTTGCTGCATCTACATCTATACCTATATCTACACCAGAGTGCCTAAAAACTTCGAAGACGAAATTTCTTTTATTTATATATATAGTTCCAGGGCTAATTATAGGTGAGGAGATAGGGATAGCAACCCCGATCCCTTTAGGGGGAATTGGGGGAGGTAGGTCTGTGAAACGGGCTTGGATGCCTACGATGAATTGGAGGCCCGAAATTTTGAATATTTGAATTATTTAATTCTAGACTTACCTTTGTTGGTCTACTACAATTCCTTTCAGTCTCCTTGTAGAGTATTCCCTAAATCGGTGCACAAGGGACACCGGGGGGCCGCTGAGCACTGCCCCGCAAGGTGACCGGTCTCACCACACTTATAGCACCTGTTGGACCGGTCAACGTGTGCATTGCACCGCTGCCTCACGTGCCCCGCCTCGAGGCAGCGGTAGCACTGAAGTGGGCGCGTTGGCAGGGCCTCAACCCTAGCCGACACCCATCCTATTCTGATCCTCCTGGCGGCAACAAGCTTATTTAACGCCGCCAGTGGACAGCGAACCCATACGGTTCCCAAGCCCATGGGGGATGTCCGTACCTCTCCGGTGCGAATATCGCCCCCGTTGCAGCCGGAGGCTGCAGCGACCGCTTCAGTAACCTCTCGTGAGGTAACAGAGGGATCAAGGCCAACGATGCGGCATTCACCACACTTTACTGGCCGCGCGACACGGACATCCGTGCCATCAAAGATAGCTCTCAGACGGCCAGCCAAGACATCGGCTTTAGCCGCACCACCCTCCCCGGGAACCTCCTTCCGCAAGCGGAACCTTTTCTTTCGCCTCCCTCATAACGTCCGCGTAGGACTTTGGGCCACCCGGTGCCACCGTGATGGTCACCGCAGCGGTCTTAGGTGGCCTAGGAGGGCGCCTTACTGTGGGCCGTTTTTGTACAGCCGATGTTGGCCGATCAGCAGGAGGCTTTGGCTGTACTGCTGCAGCAGAGACAGCGGCCTGTCGGGCTATCCTTCTCGCCTTCCTTCCAACCACCTGCGACCATGCCTCGGTGGTTGTGGCAGGTGCTGGTGGCGGAGGAAGTGGTGGAGGGGCAGGAGTGATTCTCCTACCGGTTGCAGACGGTTCTTGGCCAGACCTAACAACCGTCCCAGCGTCCTTTGCGGCACTAATAGCCGCCTTCTTTTTCTTCATTCCCGCCCTAATTGGCGGAGTGCCCGCAGGGCGCTGCTGGGCTACCAGCTGGTCGGCTCTCAACGGATCACCGGGGCCGGCAGTATTTCCTCCCGTAGCGCCGAGATTTTCCGGTCAATTAATCGCTCCACCGCAATGATCAAGCGATCCATATCGCTCCCTTGCGCCGGTGGAGGATCGGGAGCGGGAGCAGGCGCTGGAGCGCACGGCGAAGGGGCACGAGGCGAGGGAGCACGTGGCGAAGGAGCACATGGCGAGAGAGCACGTGGCGGAGACTCGCCTCTTACCAATGTGGGGGTCCCTAAAGGTGGTACCATCTCCACTATGCTGGAAGGAGGACATTCGGCACTAATATCCTCCGCAGCAGCAGTCGCGCGCTTCCTGAGGGCTCCACCAGCCTTGGCGCGAGTCTCGACGCCAAGGCGCGACTTTAGTGCGTCCGTCTCGCGTCGAATCGACTCCATCTCCCGCCTCATGGAGTCGAGTTCCAGGTCCCGCGCACACAGTTTCTGCTGGAGGAGAATGTTTTCTCTCTCCAGCTGCGGGCCGTCTACCGACGTCCTCGACCGTCTATAGGCATGCACAGCCGCTGCCTGTAAATAACGGCCCGACTCGCGGACGGCACGCACATAGGTGCCCTTCAAATTCTTTGAATTGGAGGCCACCTTTTCGAGCATGCGACTATGCTCTAGCGCCTCCGCAACAATTTCGGCATCCGATTGGTCATCCA